GGGAATGAACGGATCCTAATCGGATCCGGGCCGGATGATGTGGGGAATGAACGGATCCTAATCGGATTTTACGCACTTAAATACATTTGTTTTTCCTAATGATTGCATGTGACCCAATATGTAAAATTAACAATGAATTTGAGGTTTTTGTCCACAATGTTGTCTCGTTTYCACAATCCTTATAGCAGCAGGAAGTCAGTTTACTTTGCTAACTGAGCTGTTTACCAGCTAAGGCAGAAAAAAAACWTTTAACTTGCACAAGTACCACAGGTTCAAACCAGACAAGACAGTCAAAGCATGAATAAAGTAAAAACTCATGATTATTTTTGTTTTGAAACCTTTTTATGAGCCATGATGAAGAGCAGTCGTAGAACTGTGTACGAAAATGAAAAGTTTAATGCATAAATTAGCAAAGCACAACAGAAATGTGCTTCAGTTTCCTTKAAAGCTCAAAGCGCTTGAGCTGACAGATTTATTGGAGTAAARGTGGGAGGGGTCGGAGTTAAAAATGATCAGTGAAGTTAATGGAGGTTTCATCTTGATCTGATATGTTTGAGGCTTTTATTTTGAACTCATAAGTGTTAAATAGAATATCGTCTTTTTAAAGTCGTGTCCTCTGCTGCTCAGCTTTTCTCCTTACGGGGGCTGTGCTTCTTTCCCYGTTCTCCTTTAGGACTCTTTCCTGGTTCTCCTTTATGGCTCAGTCGCTTGAGCACCTTGATGGGTTTAAATTTTGTCCCTTTTTTCTTTTGATGGTCACCGTCATGCTCCTTGTGAAAGTCTGATGAGGGTTTAAACATAAAAAACAAAAACARTTTAACATTTGAAATAATGTTTTAAGACAAAAAAAAAAGATCTGTTAAATTATACCTTTTTTCTTCAGCATGGCCTCCATTAGTTTGTCCTCCTCTTCTTCTCTGTTACACAGCCAACATTAGATAATACCTTTACTTTGACACCGCTGATAAACACTACTAARGAATGATGTCATTGATTACCTCTGCCGGTCCTGGTCCATGTTGTTAACTATTTGGTTGCGCTGTTCGATGATGGTAACTAGCTCGGCCATCAGCTCATGCTCCCGACTCCTGTCCTCCTCTGTCCAGTCTTTCTCTGATTAAAAATTAAGAAACCGTATTAATAACAATTCACTTCTCCCTCCTTAGCTGTATTAGTCTATAAATTATTGATGCAACAGCAGAGCATCGTTTCATCAGAATTAAATGATCATCCACAGAGATGGAGGGCGATATGGTGCTTTGTGTCATATTTTTCCTCTACCAGTTGTTGTTTATGAACAGCGGAAATAATAAACAAATGAAGCATTAGTGGCAGTATGAAGTAAAACATTTGAATAAAGTTAATGGAACCACCTGGTTTGTTGAGAAGACACCGCAGTTCGTACTCCACATCAGCCTGCCTCTCCTCCAGGTTCTGCTGCTTTGCTCTGCAGCGGCAAAAACACAAAGTTACTATTTTTATTATTTCAAACCAATTTACTTATAGTTCTTAACGAGTACACGATTTTCAGCGTACTTACGTGTACACCAGCTCAGCTTCACGTCGCACTAACAGGTGCTTATCGTGGATGAGAGTGAACCAGTCCACCAGCAGACGCTCCTCGTCTTCATCTGAACAAAGAAATAAAAGCTTTCAGATACCTTCATATGAAAACAACAAAAAATAAAAATTGTACTGATCGTGCAGTAAAAAACTTACCATTTGGGRTGTCCCTCAGCTGCTTCTCCAGCTCCACGCCCTTCTGCTCCATCTCATCCAGCTGCTTCTCCAGCTGAGCCATCTCTCCATGGATGTCCTCAGCTGGGATGTACTGATCCGACTGCACCTGCGGGGAGATTTGAACCATGTCAGAACCTGAGTTCATCCATCCATCCATCCATCCATCCATCCATCCATCTATCCATCCATTCATTCATTCATCATCCATCCATCCATCCATCCATCCATCCATCCATCCATCCATCCATCCATCTATCCATCCATCCATTTGAACCACGTCAGAACCTGAGTTCATCTATCTATCTATCTATCTATCTATCTTATTGTCAACATTAAGCTTGTAAACCTTGCGTTTGATAAGCGGGAACCCGTGTCCGGGTGCCGGGGGTCTGGCGGGTCGCGGGCCTTTTGGAGGTCTGGTTTCAGATTTGGCAGCGGAGGGAGATGCTTTCCTGTTAAAGGGGTTCTCCTTACAAAACCGCTAACAAACAAAAAGAAGCATTAGTTTTTATACAGAGCTTTATATTGGATTGTTTTGGAGGTGATTTTATTACTTTATTGTTTMTGGCTTTTTGTGGTCCAGCTCCAGGATCTTTGGTGCTCCCAGAGTTGCGACTGGTCTGCGGGGTGGCCGGAGCTGAGCTGGCYTTAGACGGCACGGGAAATGGGGCGGGACTTAAGGCAGGGTGATGCTGAGGAYCAGCTGGAGAGGAGGAAGAGGACGGCGAGTTGTCGGAGGGGGAACAGATGGAAGGCTCAGAGACGCTCTTGGTGAAGCCCGGTTCCTGGTCGTTGCTGGCACCCAGGGGGATCTGGGAGGAGCTGTGGTCCGAGGCAGAGGACAGACTCTCTGTACTGAGTGCTGGAGAGGGAGAACAGGAGGAAGACTGAGACTGAGAGAAAGCTGAGGGAGAARGGTGGAGTGGAAAAAAGCACAGAGCCGAAAACGCATAAAAAGACAGGAATTAAAGTTGGGACAGTTGGAGAGAGGATGGAGGGGAAGATAAAAAGGTTTATTATTAAAATATAGTTTTTAAAATAGTTACACCAACATTTTGGGTCTTTTTTATGTTTTGTTTTTCATTTCTTGAAACAGTAATGCATTTACGAAGATATTTTCAGAAATGACATCTGAAATCCTGTGTTTCCAAATGGACAAGACCTTAGAGCATAAAATGTGATCAACACAAAGTAGCTATTTGTTTTATCAGTTAACATAAAAGTGTGTGACATGAATAAAGAACATTAATAACAGTTATAAATTAAGATTGTTATGGAGCTAAATTGAGCACATAAAGGTTGTGAAAATAATTTTTGAAACTGAAATAAAATTATTTAAAAATGATAAAAGAAAAAGAGTTCAAAACTACTTGGATCATATAAATAAATGTATATGACATGCCCTTGTATCATAATGAACATGGTATGGCAGGCCGTTGTTGCATATAATTAGAAAATGAGGCAAGCCATTGTATCACATAGTTAATGATGTATGGCAGGCTGAGTCATAATTAAAAAAAAAATGATGACAGGCCGTTGTCTCATGAAGCATAGCAGGCCATTGTATTGTATACAAAAAATATACATTACATATTTTATTCAGTTTCAGTATTGTTTTTCAATTTATTTGGGCAGGTTGTGTCATAATTTAAAAGTTATGACAGGCTGTTGTCTCATAATTAAAAAAAGTGTGGCATGCCGCTGTATCATAATTAATGAWGTATGGCAGGCTGTTGTGTCCAAATTTTAAAATTATGGCAGTCCGTTGTGTCATAATTTTAAAATATGGCAGGCTGTTGTCTCATGAAGTATGGCAGGCCATTGTATCATATAATAAAAATATATTGTTTTCAGTTTCAATATTGTTTTTCATTTTATTTATGTTTTAAATTTTCTTCTGCTTGAAAAAACTTTGTTTTGAACAAACTCCACTCCACCACAGGGGGCAGCTGTGGCTGAACCTTACCATCATCAGTGTGTGAATGTGTGTGTGAATGGGTGAATGTCTGAAGTGTAAAGCGCTTTGAGGTCCAGGTGGACTTTCCAAGTGGACTTGATAAGGCGCTATATAAGTTCAAGTCATTTACCTTTTTTTTTTTACCAAACTTTAAGGCTCAAATTTAGCTCCATAATTTGTCAACTTATTATTTGATTTCTATAAGTCATGACTGCTAGTAAAAAAAACAAACATTCAGGACAGAACATGTAGACCCATATTATTTAAATAATTTGTGAAAGTTTTGATAATAGAACACTAAATATTATAGATCAAGCAGCAAACACTATTTTTTCTGCAAAAACCTTGAACTCTCAGGTTGTACTGACGTCCTCCAAAAGGATAAAGTTTATTAAGGGGATCATTCAGTGTAAATACGTAAACAAAGATGGAGAAATGAAAGCAGCTTTAGTTACCAGAGGMGGGGTGTGGAGCACGAGGGGCCGGTCTTTTCTTGCTCTTAGCACTCCCAGGACTGGCGGWGCGGGAGGAGCTTCCTCTGGGGGGCGTAACTTCTGCTCCTGCTGGGTCTGCTGGCCGAGTGATGTTGTACCACGGGTGAGCAGCCACAACCGTGGGAGGAACTGCTCCTCCTTCTTGCTCCTCATCATTTTCTTCACCATTTTCATCCTCATCATCCTCGAATGGGTTTGAGGTCTGAGGGGGCGTGCTGGGTCTGGAGCCCTCCCCTTGAAGAGAGGACAAAGAGCCTGTGTTTGGAGGTGTTGTCAGTCCGGGAGGGGGRGGGGGAGGAGCTTTCTTCTTCCTGGTTTCTGATGGAACCAGGGTAAGCCAAGGTGGGTCTTTAGGTTTATGGGTGCCACTGAACAGTGAGACACACAGACAGTGATGGAGGAAGGGGGGTCACACAGAGGAAAACCACAGAATACATCCATATGTGTAGGGGTGAACAAAAAGGTGGGTGAAACGGTGATAATGTAGACATTTAAGGTGAAATTCAGCTACCTTCCAGGAGACTGTGATCTTTCCTGAGGTTTGGGAGGAATTAGAGGCTTCTGATGTTCTTCTGTAAAGAAGAAAAATAAATTATATAAATGCTTATTTGTCTTTTAGTGAATGTATGTTGTGCACTTGCAGCTTACCAGCTGATGGTCCATTTGTTGCGTGGGACATTCGAAATCGAGGGGCCGGGCGAGGGGGAGGCGTGCGCTCAGAAATCCTTCTGGGTGCAGGTACGGGTCGGCTCACTTCTTCAACAGGACTGTCACGTGTGCACGGATGGTCCCCATTAGATGTCAGCTTGGTTGGTGTTTCTTCTTCTTTTCCTTCCTCGTCCTCCTCTTCTTCGCTCTCATCAAAAGGATTAGGAGGAGAGGAAGGACGGGATTTCTCCTCGCTCCCGTTTATCTCTTTCGCTTCACCCGAAGAGTCTTCTTTAACCGAGTCGTTGGCTAACGTGTCAGGATCCGTTACTGTAGASGGGGTCTGTTCCTGGTCCCCCTCAGAGGGAACATCAACTGTGCTGGGGTCAGTTCTGGCAGGCTGATCCGCCGCTGGTCGCTTACTAAGATCTGGACGACTGTTCTGATTGGTTAAAGCTTGCCTCGTGAGGTGGTGCGTACAGATCAACGCCCCAGAGTCATTTCCTTTGTAGGATCCAGGAAGCAGAGTGCTGCGACACTCCGTGCACCTGTAACAACGACCAGGAGGAAAAGATCAGGGRCAATTACACTTATTTAACTTGTTTATAACAACTAAAATGCTGTTGAAATAGGATAAATACAAAATACATGGGCTTTATTTTGTCTTTATCAAATGCTCATCCTGATTTTTTTTTCTATTGTTTGAAACTAAATGACTAACGAGCCATGAAGCTGCAGTTTGAGCGGACAGATTCTGAGAATAGCAGCTTATTTTCCTGTACATGGCTTACAAAACAGTTTGTTTCCCACCTCTGCATGTTTTGTATCCAGCTTGGCAACAGATTTAATTTACAGGAGAATACTTTCTAACAAAAGAACAGTTTTTCAATAATTATCATCGCTGTGGGTTTATGCTGCAAAAACTGTCCAACAAAGGTTTTTCATCTTATATCCAGCCAAAAAGTATTTTTGATCTTATTTTGAGGCTGATGTACTAAGCAAGAGCAGAATGTGTTTGAATATTAATATCTTTAGCCTGGAAAGTTTCCTTATTTCAAGAAGTGCAATTGTCTTACTGCACTGGCAGATTATTTCACTTATTCTGAAAAGTTTTTAAAGGGGCAATATCATGTAAAAATCAACTTTTTAGTTTTATATCATATTATAATGTTATCCTCTCTTCAAAAACATGCCCAGAGTCTTGCTTTGACTCATTCATGCATGTTTGAGAAATCCTATAGTGTCCTGAGGCAGCAGGCAGGGGAGCAAAACCGACCGGTTGGACCTAGAACCACCTTTTGGCCTCTGGCCTTTGTCACTGAACCAAACTTCCTCGTCACACAGCACTAACAGTAAGGTTCATATGTATCTTGAGATGCAATTTCCCAAAACCGATCTTGTATTATGTTGCTGCTTTTTAAATTATCATTACAACAAAGCATGCTACGACGCTCCAGCTTGTAAACAGCAGAAAAGTGGCTGTGGTGATGCGCTGAAATGGGCAGGACAAAAGCGGAAGGAGGTTCTTAAAGAGACAGGGGCCAATTTCAAGGTGTTTAGAAACAGATATGACGAGAAGGCAAGTTTATTTTTGATTTAAACATAAAAACATTTTAATAGCATCTGAAGGTGTTATTTTATTATGGTATAGAATTTAAATATATGCCTGAGAAACACATAATATTGTCCCTTAAAACTTATGGATGGCTAATTTTTGCAGTGCATTACAGGGTTCCTACAGCTTAATGCAAATTAAATTTAAGACTTTTTAAGACTTCTTTTAATGCCACTTGCAATGAAATTTAAGACCAACTTCACAATAAACATAAACTGAAAAAATCCAGTTAGCAACAATTTTATCCAAATGTTTATTTGAACAGAAAACAACTTAGTGGAAAAAGGCGTTTGGTAAATTATTTAAAACAAGAAATATATTTTAACTTTTTAATATTTGAGACAAATTACAATCATCCTACCCAAAATGTGTTAACATTTTTCAAGACATTTGAAAGATTTATTTAAYACTAATTAAGGCCTGATTTTTTTATTTATTAATTCAATGCCTTTTAAGACTTTAAGGCGAAAACCCTGCATTAGCCTCAGATATTACTTATATTGTTAACTGCAGTTTTTGAGTAATTGTCAGAATTGTTTTAGTTGTACAGCAGCAGAATAAAGTTCAATCAGTGCACCTCTGTTAGAGTTGTTTCGACTCCACGTTTTGAAAAAAAAAAAAAAGCTGCTCACCTGAAACAGTTGCGGTGGTAAAGCTTGCTGTCCACGAGGAACCTCTGTACCAAGTGGACGTGTTTGTTACAGGCAGCGCAGGTGCTGCTCAGCTTGACCTCTGCGGCCGCCTGCACACCTGCCTGCACAGACCAGGACGGTGGCAGGACGGGGAGGAGACATCAGGGGAGGGGGGGGCAAGATGGATAGTAATGAGGGAGGGGGAGATCATACATGGAGTCAGGAATTTGAGGATCGTTCATTCTGATTAGCTACATCTACTCAAACGCCTACATTTCACTGATTCATGAAAAACTATATTCCTAACATCATTGAAATAAAATATGTTAAGTTAAAGCATTTATTAGTAAAAAAAGGATAGTGAGTGTGGTAGTCTTATTTTGGTTGCAATTGATTAGGATTGATTTCAAGTTTTTAGGCATTCAAGGCTGTTAAATATCATAAAAAGGGGTTAGAGGGAGAATAATGCACAACCTGCCACACATGATGTTAGCATAAAACCACTGTTAGTCCTTTATATAAAAAATGATTAAAAAAGACTGACCTAAGAGTTTTTCTTTCACCTGCTAACCCACCCCTGACCCCACACTCTACTGCCTAGGCTCAGGGCCAGAGAGCGAAGGGAGAACCAGATGTGAGGGTGAAGAGGAAGAGGAGGGAGTGAAATGAGTTTCCATCTACAGAGGGGGGAGGAGGGGATGAAGGTGATGAGGAGGACGCCAGTACAGGATGGAGGAGACAGGTAAAAGGCATGCGAAAGAAAAGAGAAACAGGATACAGAGGCTATCTTTATAGACTTGTTTTAAAGCTGCGGCTCAGCTTTTTACCTCCATGCTGTGCAAAACAATGCTCACAAAGGAAGTACGCAAATAAAAATCCATGTGCGGATGCAATCAAAATCCAAATAGTTCTTGCAAAACTACTGGCATATACTGAAAAGCTTCAGGAGAAAGTAAGGGTACGTGTCCTCAATTAGATTATTAAACACTAGTTGCAGATTAGCCAATGCTACCATGCAGCTGTGGTAAATATCATGCAATCATTTTAGAGTTCAGTGTGACCCAGGTTCTACCAACAAAACAACACATGCATCAACAAGTCCGTTGATCCGAAGATTATTACATCACGTCTCAGACTCACCTCAGGCTGAACCACTTTGTCTTCTAAAGGAGTTGGTGGCCTTTTCTGGGTGGGCTCGTTGTGACTGACAGAACTCAGCCTCTTCATACAGGGTGGGTTTGCTGCACATGATGGATTTGAGTCAGTTATCGGGTTCACAGGTTAAAAACGCTCAGAGTCACGTGTCGAACACAAACCTTGTGACTTGTTGTTGAAATAGTTGTAGTACTGAGACACGTATGTGATGATGCTGAGCCGGTCGGGAACTTTCATGGACACCATGTCTTCTGGGTCCAGCAGGGCTGGAATTCCCAGCTCTGTCTCTGCCACTTCAAATGCCTACAGTGGAAAACCAAGAAAGAAACAACAGACAGCTTTTACTATTCAACATTTTATAATGAGTATGAATGTTTWGTACAGTGCTGAGTTGACTTTTGTTGTGACACTAAATAAATAAAGTAAATTCTAACAATAACAACCAGTAATCTTGAACAAGTACTCTTTTTATAAATATATATATTAGGGCTGTGCATTGGCAAAGATTTAGTGATGATACATATCACGTGACACGGGTCATATTACAATATATTGACATACAGTGGTTTGCAAAATTATTCATACCCCTTGAACTTTTCCATATTTTGTCACATTACAACCACAAACATAAATATATTTCACTGGAATTTAATGTGAAAGACCAACACAAAGT